CAGCGCCGGCGCTGAGGTGCCCGGTTTCGGGAGCCGGGGAAAGGCAGGGGCTCCATCGCTGCATTTCCAGCTGCTTTTTTAACAGGGAGCTCGGATTTCTGCTAGTTTTTCTGTTTCCACCAAATTCCAGCAGCTGGTGCTAGCGGATAAAAACAGGATGGATGCTGACACGGGGCTGAGGTTTCCCTGGAAAAGCAGGGTACCTCTTACTTCTGCTGCTGACCGAAATTCCCAGCTCTCCCAGAAACCCTGACTCCTTTAAAAAAAACCAAAACCCCGATTCCTTTAGAGGCATGAGCAGGAGGTGTTCTGTACCGGCCACACAACCCAGGCCCTCCTCGGCAACAGGAGGCAAATTTCATTTCGTGTTTTCCTGACTTTCAGTATGTCGCTACTGTGGAAAGGAGGTGGCGCTACCGACGCCTGGGGAGTCACCACACAAAAAAGAGAGGATTTCCATTTGGCAACATCTGTGTGGGACTTGCCAGGGGCTGAGCAGAATATTTTGAGCTAAAAGGTTCATGTTTCTGGTCTGTCGGTGTGCTCCCGTGATGCTGACGCAGGCACCTGCTGGGACATGCATGGGATAGGGGTCGACCTTGGGAACAAGAGAGGGAAGAAGGCGGGGAGGGCAGGCAGGGTCCGTAGCACCGACCTAAGCCAGAGTGCGGGGCCGTGGGTGCGTGCAAGCAGCACACGTGCACACACACCCTGCACTCTGATCCCTGCAGCCTGCAAGGGAAGAACATGTCACGGAGGGTCTGCAGCAAGGAGGAGGGTGGCAGAAATACCAGGTGTCTCCCGCTCCTCTGCTCGATGGAAACAAGGTGCAAGCCGAAAGACTCATTCCGGGCATTTGTATCACCGCTGCCCTTTAACCCGAGGCGTGAGGCCCAGGCTGGCATGCCTTCCTCTCGCAGGCTGGCTCAGAGCTGCTCGCCGTGGCACCGGCACGAGAACACAGAAAGCAACGAAAAATAGCGGCCCTGGGGCAGCGGGGGCCGCGACCGGGGAGCAACCAGAAGTCCCAGTGCAGACACGTCCCCAGTGCAGTCCGGGAGCCAGCTCTAGGCTCTGCGATAGCCCAGCCTTGCCGTAAGCTTTCCGCACGAAGGGCTGCGCTGGCTGGGGCAGGCAGCGCCCGGCAGCAGGAGCGTGTCTTCGGCTGCGACGCATGAGGAGCCCGCTGCGCTCGCCTGGCTCCCCGCCCGCTCGCCCAGAGCCATCTCCCCTCCCGACACTCGGCCAAG